CAGTATTGATACATTATTATTAACTAAGTCTGTGCTTTTTTCACATTTTTCCAGTTTTTATGTCTTTTTTTTGTTCCAGGATCCCATTCAGGATACCATATTATATTTAGTAGTCATGATTTCTAGGCTCCTCTTGGTTGTGTCAGTTTCCTTGCTTTTGATGACCTTGGCTGTTTTTAAGATTACCAGTCAGGTATTTTGTATAATGTCTCTCAACTGGAATTTGATGTTTTTCTCATGGTTGTATTGGTATAATGTCATTTTGTAAGGAAAACCATGTAAGTATCATGCCGTTTTTATGCACAGTATGTATCAAGGATGCATACTATCAATATGTGTTACCAGTGTTGATGTTAACCTTGATCACTTGGCTTGAGGTACTATTTCCCAGGTTTCTCCACTGTAAAGTTACTCATTTTTTTTCCTTTCAATACTATACTCTTTGGAAGGAAATAACTATGCTCCGTCCACATTTAAAGAGTGAATAGTTACGTTCAACCTCCTACATAAATTGTTTGGAATTCTGTGTGGGAATTTGTCTGTTTTCACCATTATTTATTCAATCATTTATGTATGTCACCATGGACTCATGGGTATTTATTTTATACTTTGGTTATAATCCAGTGCTACTATTTTATTGCTCAAATTGTTCCAACTTTGGCCATTGGAAGCCTTTCAGTTGGCTCCTGTATCCCTTCCCTTTGACATACCCTCTTCGTTGTATCTCTCTTTTTGTTTTTTTCTTTTGAGCACTTTCTTACTTTCTGGCAACACAGGATGCTTTAGGCTCATGTTTTATATTTCCTGCCCCAGTCCTGTAATCTGTCATTTTTCCAAGGAGCCCTGGTTCCTTTTATTGAAGAATGGATTTAGAAACCAAAATCTGGGTGTTAGATGAGCTTGTTGTTACTGGAGTATTGTTGCTTTTAGGCCCTCTCAAGTGACAGAACAAGGAGATACATGTTTGTATACTAACTCGTATGTATACACGTATCTATAAATATTTCTATATGTAACCATATATACGTATATTAAGCTACATATATGTTCATAGTGCTGGCTCCAACTCTAATCATTACCAGATGGATTAGAATCGCTTATCTGTAACCTCCTACTCCACTTGGCTCTCATCATTTGCCACCCATTTACTTAATTCTTCAATTCCAATACATGTTTAGTGGTTTCAGAATAGTTAACCCGTACTCCCTTGGGAAACAACTATATCGACTATAGTACTACGCTTACATACTGTTCTTTTAACCTTTAATGTTACCAGGGACAGATTACCCAATAAGCAAGGTGTGCACAGGTGAAAACAGGTGAAATTGTGCATTACAGATTCGTAGGTAAGCACAAGTAAGCCCATGCATACCTTGCTTACTGGTTAATCCACCTCGAGTATTAGACTCAACTCATTTTCAAAGTTACTTAAATCAGCACCTTATTCCCCACCCCCTTCAGTGAGGTTGTTTTATACATTTGTAATACATTTAGATTGTTTTGCATTCCATCCTGGGATTTGTCTACCTCCTAAATGATAATTTAATAATTTGCATATATTAAGGTTTATTCTTTGTGCTTTAAAGTTATTTGGGCTTTGGCAAAATTTCAATGTCTTGTATTTACCGTTACAGTATCATATGAGAATAGCTTTACCTATTCAACCCTCACCAACCCTGGCAACCACCGATCTGTTTACTGCCTCTGTGCTTTTGCCTTTTCCATAATGATATGTCGGTATATTACATTTTAAAAAGCATTTTTGAGTGATTTTTATCAGCATAGTATTTTGTTAAGTAGTGGTACATACAAGTACTAGATAACTACCATTTGGACATTTCTTTTTTTAACATGAAATTTACATTTAGAATATATCATTCAGTGACTTTTGGTACATTCACAATGTTGTGCAACCACCACCACTATCTAATTCCAAAACATTTTCATCACCCCAAAAAGAAATCCCATACCCATTAAGCAGTCACTCCCTATTTCCTCTTCCCCTGGCCCCTGGCAACCAACGATATGTTTTCTGTCTGTATTCTGGACATTGCATATAAATGGAATCATACAATGTGTGGCCTTTTATGTCTGGCCCCTTTCACTTAGCATGATGTTTTCAAGGTTTATCCATGTTGTGGCATGTATCAATAGCTTATGCCTTTGTTATGGCTGAATAATATTCCACTGCATGGATATATTGCATTTTGTTAATCCATTCATCTGTTGATGGACATTTGGGTTGTTTCCACCTTTTGGCCGTTATGAATAATGCTACTTTGAACATTTATGTACAAAAGTTTTTGTTTGCGCATCTTTTCAATTCTAGCATATTTGTTTTGATACATTTTATTTTCATATTAAGAAGAAAGTTACCCAGTGTCTTGATTTGGGGTAAAGTGCTGAAAGAAAGCTACATTCTCCTGACATTCTCTAGGTATTGTGAATATTGAAATCACAGAATTTCTTGGTTGTCATTACAGAGTAAAGAATTTTTGGTGCAGATGGGGTAACAGTAGGTAGCCTTCCTCTAGAATTCTGTCAGAGGAACATCCTGAATTATGCTGTGTACCATGCAGTCATCTGTCTCGGGTAGCAAATGATCTCTCACTGTGAAATCGGATTGTAAAATCTGCTAGGTTGCAGGGAATTTCTGAGTGTGTGGAATTCTGCGTTTACCAATATGTATCCAGAGGAATAATAGGCAGGATTTCCATTCTGGAAATAATTGGCATCAGTGATATTACAGAGGTTTTATTCTTATTAACCACATTTTCCTTGAGGTTTGGGCTGTAATAGAGTGACCTCAAATATTGATGCTTTCTTTTTCCTGTTTCAGTGCCTGACCCTGAAGCTTTGTTTTGCAGCGGTTGATCTGATGCTTTGTCAAATTTACTTTGCTCAGAAAGACTTGGCAAAACCTTTCTTCTTTGGCCATTTGGGCAGTCTGACCAGTTCATTGAACGTAGTGTTGTTATTCAGGCTTCTTGAAAACAAAGAGCTGTCTTTGTAGCTTACTTCTTAAGTGACTTTGGGGTTTCCTGGAGACAATAGAAAATAAATTATATATTGACCACGTCACACTTTATTGCAAGGAATTTCTCTGTAGGCATGTCTTTCAGAAGGCTTTGAAAACCACTGTCTGTATAATAGAACGCGAGAGAAAGATGTGTCAGTCTCCTTCCGTAAAGATTACAGCCTTGGAAACCCAGTGGGGCAGTTCTGTAGGGTCCTGTAGGGATCTATAGGGTTTCTATGAGCCGGAATCAATTCGACGGCAGTGGGTGGGTATAATAGAACACTGGGCTGGGAGCAAAGAAGATTTAATCTTAATTTTCCAAAAGACTTACTCTATGTTATTGGATAACTTACACTTTGGGGCTGGGATTCTTTCTGTAAAAAAGAGATAATATCAACTCTTTCTAATTTACAAGAATGTTGTGATGGGAATTGAGTTTTAGTAATCAAGGTACTTCGAATTTTTTGAAAGATAGACATTTTGGAAGATGTGTATTGTGAAAATTCTCGTTAGGGCTCTTTATTTAATAATGAAAATGAATCTTCTTTCTTATTATAATAAAAACCTTTGTCAAATACTGTATATTTTATTTACCCATATGTCTACCATTTACTGTGCTCCTCATTCTTTTGTGTAGCTCCAGATTTCTATCTGATGTCATTTTCATTGTGATCGAAGGACTTCTTTTTAACATTTCTTGTAGTGCAGATTTGTTGGTGATGAATTCTCTTTGCTTTTGTGTATGTGAAAAGTCTTTAATTTGCCTTTTAATTTTCCCTTTTCACTGGGCACAGAATTTTAGGTTGACAGGTTTTTTCTTTAAGATGTTGCCTCACTGTCCTCTGCTTTGCATTGTTTTCAAAAAGAAGTGCTGTCAGACTTTATTTCTCTGTTTATGTGTGTTTTTTTCCCCTCTGGCTGCTTTTAAGAGTTTCTCTTCAAGCAACTTGATTTTGATGTGTGTTGGTGTAGTTGTAGTTTTCTTCATTTTTGTGTGCTTATATTTGTTGAGATTCTTGGAACTGTGGGTTTATAGTTTTCATCAAATTTGGAAAATTTTTTGTCAAGATTTCTTAACATAGTCCCCCTCCTACTCCTCAGGGACTCTAGTCATGCATATTATAGGCTACTTAAGGGTGTTCCATAGCTCATCAATGCTCTGTTCATTTTTTCCCAGTCTTCTCATATTCTGGGTTTCTATTGCTATGTCTTTAAATTCACTAATCTTTTCTTCAGTGTTTTATCTGCTGTCAGTCCCATCCAGTGTATTTTTCATTTCAGACATATATATATTTTTTAATCTCTAGAACTTTGACTTGGATCTTTTTGACATATTCATGTCTCTGCTTAACACCTTCAGTCTTTACTTTTTGAACCTGTGAAATGTAGTTATAATATCATGTAATGTTCTTGTGTACTAATTTAGCCATCCATTTGTGCCAATTCTGGGTGTTTCTATTGATTGATTTTTCTCCTCATAATTGGTCATAGTTTCCTGCCTCTTTGCATGCCTGATAATTTTTGATTGGGTGGCAGTTACTGTAAATTTTACCTTTTTTGGGCTAGATATTTTTGTATTCTTATAAATTTTCTTGAGCTTTGTTCTAGGGTGCAGTTAAGTAATTTGGAAATAGTTTGAGCGTTCAAAGCTTCCTTTTAAGCTTTGTTAGGTGAAAGCAGAGCAGTGGTTAATTAATTTTGTCCAAAACCCTTTTGAATACTACTGATGCCTTGTGAATTATGAGATTTTTCACTCTGGCTGATGAGAACATGAACTATTCCTGGCCCCATGTAAGATCTGGAGATTGTTCCCCCTACTCTTTTCAGGTGGCTTCCTCCTCACCCCAGCCCTCACCTCTATCTTGAGTAGTTTCCTCATACACATACATTGATCAGTAATCAACTGAAAACTTGAGGGAGACCCTTTGCAGATCACTCGATCACTCTCTTTCTCTGGGCAGCTCTCTCCTCTGCAGTACTCTACTTTGAGAACTCTAGCCACCTTGGCCTCCCTACACTTCCAGTTCCTTCACTCAGACTGCTGGACTCTGCCTGGGTTTCCCCTCCCTGTGCTTTGGCCTGGAAACTCTCTCCAGGCAGTAAGTTGGGGCAGTCATTTCTTCCTCTCTCTAAGGGGTCCACTGTGCTGTGCTGCCTGATGTCTAAGGTCTGAAAATCATTCTTTCATGTATTTTGTTGGTTTTTTTAGTTTTGGATGAGTGAATCCAGTCCTTGCTACACCGTAATGGCCAGAGCTTACTATATATTCTGTAATTTATAGGTTGATAGAAATGTAGTGATATGGCAGGTATCAAGATCACTGCTTTAATTTGCTACCGAAATATACAGATTCCTAGTTCTGTAAGATATCTAACCAGAAACCAAAAACAAACAAACACTTTTTGCCATTGAGTTGATTCTGACTTATGGTGACCCCATGTGTTAACAGGGTAGAAGTGCTCTGTAGGGTTTTCTTGGCTGTAATCTTATGGAAGCAGATCACCAGGCCTTTCTTCTGTGATGCTGCTGGGTGGATTCAAACGTCCAACCTTTCAGTTAGTAGTGGAGCACAAACTGGTTGTGCCACCCAGGGACAGTAAGAGTACCCAAAACCACCCTATGTGTCAGATTAACTTTGATGTTCCTCATGCCAGAGTTATATATGTTTTTTGCATACGTTATTCTATATTTTATGCTGACATAGGCTTCTGCATTAGTAGTTCTACAGTATTAGTTTTATAAGACCAGAATGCTTGGTCTGTTTGCCAGACTACCTAATGTTATTTGTCTGTGTATGTTTGGTTGGTTGTATGATATGGCCATCATCTTGCTTAAAAAAAAAAAACAAGAAATAGATTTTTATGTTTTCTTTAAAACATAGCTTGTTTATTATTAGTCAGAGATCTGGATTACCCACCAAGGTGTATCTTTGATTGCTGCTCTCGTTGATAAGCCCCAGTGCCACCTGGACTTGGACACTTCATATAATTTGTCAATGATTGCTGGTGTCAACTTGAAAAATTTTATAGCATAAGAACTGGTAATTGTTTGTCAGCCAGTCATTTGCATTCAGTAGTATTTCTTTCTCCTTCTCTTGCTCCTCTGTCCCAGCAGGTATTACTTTCTCGAGAAGATACACTCACAGTTAGCACTTTCTTCAGATGCTGACACTTGGTGAACAGCTGCTCTTAATCACAAGATTTAGAAGACACAGTGTCCACCCTTCCAGATTGGATTGGATCTCTTTTCATATGGATCTTCTATTTGTATGTCTTTTTTAAAAAGAACTTTTTTTGGGAAACATTTTGGATTCCACTATTCATCCTCATCTATGCAAAGAAAGAAAAGCTATTACTGGGATTTTGAGGAGGTACGTCATTTTTCTTCTGCAAAATTGCATCACTTAGGTGTTCCAAGCAGTACGAAATAATGATATAACATTCACTGTTTCCTCTGTAGAACTCAATTCTCATTCATTTACTTGTTCTATCTTTCTTTCTCCCATTCTTTCTTTTTCTAGCAGTTGTCCTAGCTAAAAAAAAAAAAAAAAAAATATCTTCATGTGCAGTATAACAGCGCATTTCTCACATTCTTTCTGGATGTTACTGACGCTGAGTTAGACTTAAAAGTAACCGGAAGCAGTTTGAATTCTTATTCCTTAAGATTGTGGCTTCAGTGAAATTCATTTATTTGTTCCCATATTGTTTAGAAGATGGATGGTTTGAGAAAGTTTAGAATCTTTAGCAAAGTATACAGCTATATGATTTTATAGTGTGATTCAGTATCTGTGAGAGGACGTGTGATGTAGAGTTTTGAACTAAGAATCGAGAGACTTCACTCCCAGTTCTGATATTATTATTATTATTTTTTTTTTTTTTATTGTACTTCAAGTGAAGGT